TGCCGCCTGGAGTCAGGTACAATAAGCGACCAAAGATAACCAGTTGAATTTGCTCATCACTTGACATTGCTCTGATGCTAACTAAATTACCCGTGACTAACAATATCTCTTTGCTCTGATTTACTTTTCTTCTTTCTTATCTTTTCTTTTCTTGTCTATATTTATCTGGATCTCACCAGTCTGTTTCTTTATTTCGTCGGCATTGTTTCTCCTGACCGCTAGGACGGCTAGACAACGCATGCATGCGTTGTAAGGCGGCTTCACTGACCTACGACAGGCGAGACTTTGGCCCGAAACTGCTTCTAAAAGATCCACAGCCAAGTGAAGTCTGGTTTTTCCCTCCCCTTGATTTTGTTTTCGTCGGTCCTTTCTTTTTTCTTTTTTCCTTCTTTTCCGTCTCCCCCCCAATCCTTCTCAATGCTGGCACTGGGTAAGGGTATTGGGGGTTTGAATCTCCATTTGCCTCTCGAGGATGTCTGGGATGTCCCTGGACGGAGAGTGACTCTGCCTCTCTTTCTGATGACAGTCAGACTGGTATTTCCACCCGCTATGCCCGAATTGGGACTTGGCATGATGTCTACCCCGATTGGGGGCTGAGAGGCACTGCTCCTGCCGGAACCAGATAAGTGGGATTCCCCACCCGAGGTTCTCCCCAGGCAGCAGTTCCAGTGCTGCCTGAGCCCTCAGGTGTTCACCATGGGTGCCAGACAGGCTAGTCCAGGGTTGTTGCCAGGTAAGAAAAGAGGAAGACTGAAGGTACTTTGCGTTTAGGACTAGCTGAGGTCGGCCAGGCGTGCCTCAGGACTACCTGCGGTTCCCTCTTCCCCCCTTCTTGAAGCTCAGCCTGGGTTTGGCGTGGGTTCGTTTCCGGCCGGCCTCGCAATCTTGCCTTTTTCCCTTTGGTTCCCCATGGTCTCCCCCCCCCTCCCTTTCGTCCCCTCGAGCTTCCAATTCGTTCCTCGACCGGCCTGTCCGTCGTCGGTTCTGTCCCTTTCGCTCTTCCACGATTTCCCCCCTCATTCTTCAATTCTGCCGTGTGGATTATTAACCTTCCCCAACGGGGACTACAAGGGTGAAACCACCCCCCAAAAAGAACAAGATAAAAAAGAAAAGGGACGAAAAATATAGGCAAGGGCAGTTTAGGTGCAAACCACCTCGAAGCTGTTCCCTAAGCGCACTCACCATCCCAGACATCGGCTCCCCCAGAACCTGGACGGGTGGGAGAAAAAATTCCACGCCATTCCCTTTTCACTCTGGGTCTTGGACGCGCCGCTTGAATGGCCCATCCGTGGCTTTAGCCTCTCGCTCTCGCTCTCTCTCTCTCTCTCTCTCTCTCTCTCTCTCTCTCTCTCTCTCTCTCTTACGCTCTCCCTCCCTCTGATCCTCGCTTCCTCTCTTCTGCTCTCCTTTCTCCCTCTCTCGCTTGCTTGCCCTCGCCTCTTCCCGATTCACCTTCTCGTGTCTCGACTCTGATCCTCCCTCGCCCACCTTTCCGTCATCTCATTCACCTCTTCCCTCCCGACCTTGTCTTCCTTTTCTTGTCTTTGTCCCCCTACTGCTGACCATCCTTCCGAGCGTCATCCTCCTTGATCTCTCCACCTTCTCTACTCTCTTCCTCTCCTTACAGCCTATCCGTTCCTCCATGCGATTCGTGGTCCGTCCGCCTACTCATAATCATCGGCTACCGATCCTCGACTTCTTACTTGCTCACGGTCGCACGCGCCACCGAGGAAGACGACTCCACTGAGACTTCGCTCAACCTGTCCCTTTTCGAACCTGGTGTCCCTCTACAATCTTTCGCAGTAATACGATCCTTCCATCGCTGAGCAACCTCTATCGGCCTTCCTACCCTCGCGGGCTCATTCCTTGCCGGTTCATTCATCGACAAAAAGGGTGGCACATTGTGGACTTGATCACCTGGCTTCATCATCTTCCAAGGTCGAACCATCCCTTCTGTCACTGTGGACTGTCGTGAGAGTCTAGGTCAGGCGACGACTACCAGTGAGCAACAGGTGATATGCGTGCTGGGTTTTGACAGGTTCCCGTAATACCGTTCGTCCCCTCGAACCCTCAACAGCGCATTTTTCTCTGTTCAGCTCAAGAGGGGGTATTCTGTCGGATTATGACAGATACCTCCCCAGTCGCCATCACGCATCCAACCACGGAGCCCCCTGCGGTCACCGCCCCTCTGAACTCGCCCATCGTAAACGGCGCTGTTTCTGACTCGGTCGCCCCTGACGAAGAAGAGCCGTATACCATCAAGTGCATCTGCGCTTTCGAGGATGACGATGGTAATACGGTCTTCTGCGAAGGGTGCGAAACCTGGCAGCATATCGAATGCTACTATCATGGCCGAGATGTGCCAGAAGTCCATAACTGCGTGGAATGCGAGCCGCGTTCCCTCGATGGCCGGCGCGCTACGGAACGACAGAGGCGTCTCAGAGAACAGAACGACGGCGGTGACCGGAAAGCGAAACGGTCCGGTGCGAAGAGTCATAAGAAGAAGGTCAAGGAGCACGGTGGTGATCAGGTAAACGGCTTCCATCACCGGTCGGAATCCAGCACCCGGGATCAGCCCCTTGCAAAGAAGGTCAAAACCAATCATCGTTCCTCGGGGTCGGTAAGCTCCGTGTCTAATGCACCCAACTTACCCTCTGATGCGCGCAAGCGGGCAGCACCCTCCATGAGCTCGACCAAGGCATCAGGGCCTTCCATTCCTTTATATTCGCACGAGTTCCTTCATCTTTATGATCAGGGGAAAGACTATGCCAACATAGACAGCAACCTGTTTGTGAATCTGCATCTTGCAGCGGACTTTGCTGCCTGGGTCACGGACCCGGAGGCTGTTACCCGCATCACAAATGGGCGCTCCCCAAAAGAAATCTTCACGTGGTCTGGTGCAACACTTGACAGATCACGCTGGCCGACATTGTCTACTGAAACGATTACGGACCCGAGCATTGAGGTGGAAGGCCAACATCCAACCTGGAAAATCCTTAAAACTCGCGATCGTGTCGGCAAAGATGAAATTGTCGGTGAGATTACGGGCAAGCTTGGTTTATTACGCGACTATTGTCTTGACCCCAGTAATCGATGGCAAGAGCTTCGTCATCCTGAGCCCTTTGTCTTTTTCCACCCTCAGCTCCCAATCTACATTGATAGTCGGCATGAGGGAAGCGTGCTCCGCTACGTGCGGCGCTCCTGCCGGCCGAATGTTACCATGAAAACCTACATCACGAATCAGGTAGAGTACCACTTCTGCTTTGTGGCGAAGGAAGAGATCGCTGCGGACTCGGAAATCACGGCCATGTGGTACCTAGATCCTCAACTCTTTGAGTCTACCAATGGTATAGTCAAGCAGGAGGCCAGTGACAGCACGCACGATGCGCCTGCCATCTGCATCAGTAATGTCCTCGCCCACTTTGGCGGATGCGCCTGCGTCCCTCCCGCGAACTGTTTGCTGTCCAGCGTTGATCGACGACGTCACCCAAAGTTGATGGATGCGAACGCGAAACAGCCGAGTGGTAAGCGAAAGAAGACAAAGCCGAAGGCGAATATTTCTCCGCCTGCAACCACAAGTCGGGCGGGTAGTGAGACCACTAAGAACCTTGATGAAGATGATCAGGCTGATAGCCGTTCTGCATCGGGCTCTATCCGAGGTCAAACTCGCAGTCGGGATCTCACCCCTACTTTACAGACTCCTACGGAAGCGTTTTTGCTTGGGGAATCGGAACTTTCGGCTCGAGACAAGCGTAAGATCGCTGCAGCAGAGAAGAAATTTCAACAACTGGAGCAGGACCAAGCATCACACAGAAAGAAGAAACGGGCTAGTGGTCAATCCAGCCATGCTCCACGCGAACGCCAGTCATATTCTCCTCCCTCGGGCGGACCTGTGGGCTCCCTTCCCGGAATGCGTCACGGCTCACCGCGCAAAACATCCGGCAGTCACAGCACACCTGGGCGGTCTCCTCTAGGGCGTTCACACTACGTGGACTCCGCTATACAGACCGAGCCGGATGCTAGCGATGGTGTGGTTTCGCCTTCCTTGCCTTCCCCTCGTCGACCTTGTTTCGTGCCCTTGACTCAACGTTTGCTGAAAAGATGCTATTCTGATCGCATCAAGCTTGAGCAAAGCAGCCCATCTCCTGTTACTCCTCGAACTTCTCTCCTCGAGCATTCTGACTCTTCACCGACTTCCACGAGCCCGCGTGAGGCAGCGCCATTAACAGCCACAACCCCCAGCATATCCGCCGACAACCAGGATACAGAGATGAGGGATGTTGATTCGCCAGTAGAGACCTCGCCATCCCATTCCGTTACACATCTCGATGCATCACCCTTGTCAGGACGGGGATCGGTCAAGCCGCCCGTGCCGCCCCCTTGGCCATCAACTGCAGCGCACAACGCTCGGATACCTAGTAATATCGTGCATAAACAGCGCAACACTGATCTCCGCGTTCCTCTTCCCTCCGCAACGCTACCCCCGCCCCCTTCGGCCACCAGCCCAGGGTCCACAGCCCCATCGGTGTTGTCCTCACCTTCAACTGATGTGACTTCACAACCCAACATTCCCACCACGCCGGTGTCTGGTGTGGCAGGCCCTAGTCCGGTGAAAAAGAAACTCAGTTTGGGTGACTATCTCATTCGCCGGGGCACCATGACCACGCCTACGTCTGAGAAGACTCAAGCTCAGGCTACCGCAATGCTACCGCCCACACCACCTGTACCGCCTCCGACCAGCCGTGATGGAGCTGCTGCTGGGCACAACTCCTCCGCGGCGGCCAAGGCGACCGGCGACGAAGTGCCGAAGCCAGAACGGGGGGCCCAGGATGTCAGCATGAAGGATATTCCCGGAGCTACGCAGACTTCACACATACCCTCAGCGACGTGACCATCTGATGCTATTTCATGTGGATTACTCCCCTGGAAGTCGGGGTTTAAACGATATAATATGCGTTGATTACTTTCTTTGTGGAACAATTTCTGCGAATTTGTTCTTTACTTCATTCCCCTTTTCTTTCTTTTGCTTCGACTTGTACACGATGGGAATTGACAGGCGTTCAGCCGGCAGAGCGGTTTTGATTTGACCGGCGTATTCGGCGTGTTGGAAATGGAGCGGGTTCAGGGAAATACTCCGGATGAGTTATGGGCATGGGAAATGGTTTTCAGGAGGACCTTTACGGGTCATGATGTGAGCGCCTGCTTCACGATTGTCATTATTATTGTCAGACTTTCTTTCTTTCCCTTTTATATTTCCGTTCTCCTCTTCTATTACTAGGATATTTGTGACATGGCTCCCCAAGCGCCGAACATTTGGGCTCTGCGGAGTGGATCATGACGAATGAAATTCTTCTTGAATGTTAATCGATGGCACTGATTCCGTAGCTGAAAGCCTCGATATAGCGCTGAAGGCTGTCAAGGTAGGGCATGCATCGAAGGTACACGTTGCTGGGCCGAATCCTAGTTATCTTGGTGACGTCAGGCAAAATCCCATTGTGCTCGGCATAAGCTTTGGATGGCTTTCGAGGAAACCGGGATATAGACATGAAGGCAATGGAGAGCCCAGGAAAGGGCTCGGGAGGGTTAGCTAAGTGCTCCGGATATGCAGGGACTTTCTTCTCCCTAGTTGATCGGGCTCTCCACCTTTTAAGAAAGCAACGCATGATTTACATTTTCCATTCAATTCTTTCCCCATCAAAACAAGACATGAAGCGACAGCTCTTTCATCATAGCTCTGGCTCGAGACGTGGGCCGGCACGCGGATAAAGAATTACCAGGGAGGCGCGCTTTGGGCCTCGAGACTTTTCCCGCCTGCGCCACCCCCCAAAGCGTTGAATCTATTGGCTAGACCTTGTTTGTTCGGTATGCCAGGGCCAGCATAGCTGCAGGCGCCGTGTTCAACGATGTCTCGGCCGTTCCTAGACCAGTGGTTGATGACTCTTATGGTGCCACTGCCACGCCTCTATCACACTGAATAGGATCACAATGTGCCGTGTGGGAGAAGATTCTCGTCATTATTGGCTCCTTTGTTTCAAAGAGATAATGCTAAGGAGGAATAGTTATGAGCCGCTCCAATGGACTGATCCGCAGCATCAAGAATATGTTGCCTTTGCTTATCTTGCAAAGGATTTGAGGTACGGCTGAGTATTTGTCCGTTGAAGATGATGACAATAACAGGGAGGGTCTTGTTAATTATCAATACAAGAATTGACTTAGCAAGGCTGAGAGATGCCGGTTATCATGCTGACTCGGGATACCGGGCAGTATGGACACCCTTCATACTAATGATCAGTCTGGAATGGGTGTCCAGACAAGCTCATCTAGACGCTATCCGGCTCCACCGGCCCACTGCGAATGACGAGGCCGGTTCGTTGGTTGCCTGATATCATTCCCATCGGATGACATCAAGGACAAGGTTGACTGTCGGCTTTCGGGTTTGCCGAAACAGACAGGCAAATACTCACTCCATCACAAGTATGAAAGAAGTATATAATGTCGTGATGGTGCCCTGGGTGGTTCCTGGGTTGATTCAGACAATTCTACAATCACTACTATTTCTTCCATCGAATAGCATTCCTTTCCCTTGTCCATCTATACTTAGCACATCTACACCATGGTTGTTAACATCACCGCCGAAGATCCTCAACCTACCATCCACAGCCACATCAATGGCACTACGGAAGAGATCTTGGATCGGCTATGTGTCACCGAGCTCCTGAAGGGATGGCCGGTATACCGAGATGCTTCTGAATGGGCTCACTACCGAAACTGTTTCGCCGAACAGGCTTATATCTTTACCAGTAAGTTCTCATCTATATCCTTTTTGTCTCACTTATTTATATCTTAAAAAAAAAAACCTCTCCTCGAAACATCTCACTAACATGGTTTATTCAATCCGCAGCATGGAGCGGCGGCATGCCGATCGACGAATTTATCGAAGTCTCCAAGAAGGGCCGTCGAAACGGCGACCATATCATGCACCGCGAAAACGGCACTCTCGTGGAGCTGAACTCCAAGACAGGCCGTGCTGTCGGGAAAATGAAGGCCACTATCACCCAGCGCTTCTCGTTCGATGGCATTGAGTTTGATGTTGAATGTGACTGCCGCTTCATCATGTGGTGCCAGAAGGATCCGGCCGGGTGGAAGGTCCACTACAAGCGTTTGTTCTATGAGAAGGATAAGATCATGCCTGTGGATGGCAAGCATGTGCCCGATTTCTCGGAGGAGGAGCTTAAGCCGTATCCGTATGGATATAGGTATCTAGGTGCTTCTCAGGCGAAATTGGGACACAAGATCAAACTGGATTTGCCGACGATGGAGGATAATGATAAGTTCCGGGGCATGTATGAGGCTATGGAGAAGTGGTTGAGGGGCGAGGATATCAAGGAGACCTTGGGTATTCCGGTGTAAATTTGATGGGATGATGGAAGATCAATTGTATATAGTTCCTTGCTATAAGGATAATAATCATGATGATCGTTACGGTTACGAAGGCTAATTATGATTCGTTCATGCTGAGGCTTGAGGGGTTGCGGGGTAGTCATCCACTTATTCGCACATTGTCCTTCTATCTTTTCTTTGTCGTTATCAATTACATGCGACTTATCGACTCTCAAGACATGGCATCTCATGAACTGACCGAATTAAGATCTGGACATCCATCCTTATCTCATCTGTCCATTGAAGAGTCCAACAGCTCCCCCGGTCATGAACTTGAGCAAGTCCCGCTGCCACCGGTGGACCAGGGCAAAGGTGCCTGGTTGATTCTCGCCTCATGCTGTTTAATTCAGTTGCCGGTGTGGGGTGCGCATTTATTTTACCCAACTGTAGCTACATGTCTGCTCATTCGGGACACCAGGGTTCTCTCTCGTTGCTGGCATCTTTCAGGAATACTTTGAGACGCATAATGACCTTGAGGGAGGTAAAGGAGGTCTGGCAATGATGGGGACCACAGCAACGGTGATCTTGCCTGTTATTACCATTATGCTCACCTCCATCTGGCTGACATCTCTCTCTTCTTACAGGGAATCCTCTATCTTCTGTCACCTGTGACGTTCACGCTCTTGACCCGCTACCCACATCTCCCCAAGTCCTGTGCGTTTGTCGGACTAGCCCTCAGTGTCGGCGGCTCATTGCTGTCTTCTTTCGCCACAACTGTCTGGCAGATGATTGTGACCCAGGGCGTGATCTGTGGTCTTGGAAATGGCCTCGTCTTCAGTCCTACTACACTCTATCTAGATCAGTGGTTTGTTCGCCGCAAAGGTCTCGCATATGGAATCATGTGGGCTGGTAAGAGCATCTGCGGTGTAGCTCTGCCCTTCATGACGAGTGCCTGTCTTGACCGGTTTGGAGCGAAGACGACTCTAAGGGCTTGGACGGTAGTCACGGTCAGTCGTCTGCTTATCCTACTATTCTGTTTGACACTAACTAGACAATGTAGCTACTCACGCTTGCTGTGGCCCTTCCTTCCGTCAGGCCACGAATCCCTCCAGCCCCAACTACCACTCCGCAGCCTCTGAACCTCGCTTTCTTGAAACTAGCCACGTTCTGGATGCTCCAGCTCGGGAACATCATCCAGAGCTTCGGCTACTTCTTGCCCAGTACGTATCTACCGTCGTACACAACAGCAGCAGCTGGCCTGTCAGACACCACAGGGACTCTCCTAGTAGCACTATTCAACGCCACCTCCGTTGTAGGTGGAATAGTCTTGGGATCTCTTTGTGATCGCTTCGCCGTCAGCAATATCATGCTGCTCTCCTCCGTAGGCTCTGGAATGTCTGTCCTGTTGTTCTGGGGCCTGTCAACTTCGTCCCCATCTGCCAGCTTTCCACAAGCCGCCATCGCCCTCTTGGTTCTCTTCTCCATCACGTACGGGTTCTTTGCCGGGGGTTTCAGTTCCACTTGGTCGGGTGTACTCACCCAAGTCAAGCGCGAGGTTCCCTCGCTAGAAACCGGATTAGTGTTCGGGCTGTTAGCTGGTGGAAGAGGCATTGGTAGTGTCATTAGTGGCCCATTGAGCTCAGCTCTTATGCAACGGGGTTCCATCACCGGGCAAGAAAACGGGGAGATCGGGTATACCACCGACTACGGGGCGTTGATTCTATTCACTGGCGTAACAGCTATTTTTGGAGGATGGAGCTGGATGTGGCATCACCGACAACTCTGCTTGTGTTAATAACATCATCCACCAAACAATAGCAAGGATCCAAATCACTAAATAAAATTCTTATTCAGAAGAGGTTGGGTAAGTTCCGCGCGCGCATATAAACATGTACAGGGCGGACGAGATCACGTGCACTCCGCAGTTCCTGCGCATCTCGAAAGCTACGAGTAACACCTCCCCCAACCTCATCCATTGCTCAATTTTCAGCATACAATTTCAAACTCCCGGAGCGGTAGCATCATCTACCCGTCCTCCACATCTATATTCACATCCGCCACCATGGCCACCGATCCCTCCTTGCAAGATCCTCTCCTCTCGCTCCGTCGCGCCATCGCGGCCGGCAACCTCCCCACGCCAACAACCTCCAGCGACCTCTCCGACCAAAATGCGACCGACGACCTCGCAAAAGCCACCCATCTCTACTTCCAACATCCCCTCCCACAAACAATTCCCCTCACAACACCTACCCGCTTCGTCTCCAGCTCCTCCGACTCCGCCGTCGACCTCCGCAGTATCTTCTTCGCGTGGCAGAAGAAAGATGTCGCCATTCCAGAGTACATTGCTTCCGCGCAGGAGCTTAATGACTCGCTAAAGCAAAAGGAGCGCAAGGAAGGCGAGGAGGAGGAGAAAGTTCAGAACCTCGTTTTCGTCGAGCGCTTGGATCTCCTGACTTGGTTGGAAGGCGCGTCTGATGAGAGTGAATACATCAAGCCGTTGGAGGGTGCCGCTGCTGCGGCTGCCGCCGCGGTTTCGGCTGCTGCTCAGGCGCAGGCGTCGGCGAATATTGCTTCGGGGGCTGCGGGTGGTGTTTCTGCTGTGCCGAGTGGTGCTCCTGGGGGTGGTGGTGCCCCGCAGACTCAGCAGGGTAAGGCGGCGAAGGTGATCGATCCTAGGCTGCAGGAGATCTATAATGGGGAGCGCAAGATGGGGGATCGGAATAGTGTGCTACGGGGAATCAAGCCGACGGTAGGTTCACGCAGTGGGAGAGAAGGGAAGACTATATACACAGTGTGCTAATAGGGATCGTTGTAGGACTTCTCTCACGTCCGCAAAACCGCCGAATCCATGCTCGGACGCAACCGCTCACGGCCGGGACAATACCCTGCTGGTGTGAAAGCCGGCAGCAAGCCGCAATCCATGGTGGTGCCGTCGCCGTCAGCCGGCCTGTCCCAGCCACGCAAGGCAAGCAAGACGCAAGATCCTATCATTCTCCTCTCGCCCTCGGCCTCCTCGCTCATCCGCATGTCCAACGTGCGCTCCTTCCTGCAGGACGGCGTCTTCATCCCTCCTGATCACCCTACTCTTTCCATGTCCAACTCCAATATCCTCTACATCTCCCGCCCGCTCCGCATGCACTCGGATCCGTCCAGCTCCTCTCTCCGCCCCGGTGGTGGCAGCTCCTCGCAGGTCACGTCCCGGAAACCTACCCGCTTTATCCTCGTCGATAGCACGGCCAACTTCCGACCGGACTACTGGCAGCGTCTGGTTGCCGTATTCACGACAGGTCAGACCTGGCAGTTCAAGTCATACAAGTGGTCCTCGCCGCCAGAGCTCTTCAAGCATGCCACGGGTGTTTATGTCGGATGGCGTGGAGAGGATATCCCTCGGGAAGTGAAGAGCTGGGGCCGAGGCGTGCAGAGCTACGCAGTCGAGCGCTGGGACGAGAAGGGAGGAGTCCACGGGGCGGGCCGGTGGCGTGATCGGGAAGTGGTTGAGGGGATCTGGACGGCGATTGAAGAGGGAATGAGACTCCGAGGCTGGGGATCAAAGTAGAAACTACCCACCGTGTGCGTGTGCGTGTGTCATGTTTTACTTTTCCCTCCTCCCATCATTCCCCCCAATCCCAAAATTAGACCTATCGGTCCGTGCGAACAGGAGCAGCAACGATGAGGGATAATTCGAAACACACTTCGTTTCAATCATTCAAACACTCTTTACTCTTTGCAGTTTGCCCTCCGTCAAACTTTATGCCTTCGCGCCGAACGGACTCATTCTATTGGTTCCCACGGGGATCCTGTATCAATACCACTCCAGCATCCACCTACCTTCTGACAGACTCTGCCTGCCGGTAAAGCCGCAAGATCAACAGCAGAAAGAGAAACCAAGAAAAGAAAGAAACATGCCCCCTGACACTGGAATGGAATGCCATACCATGCCATATCAGCCCCCAAAAAAGAAAATAAACTCCGATCCTGCTTGGCTCGGAAATTGCGCCCTCCCGAATGCGGAATTAACTCCGGGCATTGGAAACAAGTGAACCCCAGCTACTATGTTAATCTCTTCACCTCCATATCCTTTTTTCTCTTTTTCTATTTATTGCATATTATGCTAGCTAGCTAGTTAGATATTTCGTCACATTCGGTTTTTTTTTTTTCACAGGCGTATGTATGTATGTATTGTATCGGTGTCAATTTCTTCTTTCGGCGTTGCGTTGCGTTACTTTTCCCCTTTTTTTTACTTTACATCTTCTCTATTATTATTATCTGTCTATGACATTTGAACTTAACTAAACTTTTGCTATAAATGGTATACCTTTAGAAGTTATATAGAGGTACCTCACTTCGTTAGTATCTAGATCCTACTGTCTAATTCTATTCAGTTTCTAGTATTAATATCATACTACAATACATACTTCGTAGTAGTAGTACCCTTCCACGTCTTCATCACTGGTATTTATTCCTTGTACTTCGTAGATAAAGGATAGCATATTCTTCTACTAGTAGTATAGTATAATCTAGTAGATACATACATGCATATCATCACGCAGGCATGCACTACTAGATGAATAGATAGATAGATAGATAGATAGATAGGTAGATAGATAACCCGCACCACTCAAAAACAGAGCAAAAGAGTATGAAAAAGTGAAAAAAAAGCAAATATGCCCATTAACACTCACTATAACACACTACAACACAGTCCAAGCACCCAACGAGAACTATCTACCCAATTAATTTGACACGACTCCAGCCAGATTCAAATGTTATTCCTGTAGTGTCATGCTAGTAATTAGGTATGTACGTACTATGTATGTATGTATGTATTTAGGTAGGTAGGTCAATCACATGGCCCCCATATTCAATGTTCACATCATCATCAGCATCATCTCGTGTTTAACTTAGACCACGTGTCAGCCATGTGCGTGCGCTGCGCTGCGCAGCCAATTATAGCTTACCTTTTTTCTTTGTACTAGGTATGTATGTGTGTATGCATGTAAGATTGTATGTATGGTAATATTACTTATAAT